TCCATGAGGGGCCATAGAGCCAATCAAAGACAGATTAAATTATGTAGATGTCATAAATGTACAGGAAAACTCCTATCCTATTAAAAACTACTATCCTATCATGTGAAGAGGTTACCATCTTCAGCTGGCCATCCACCACTACCATATATGTGATGACTGTGGTTCTGGATCCGGAGCTGGGTGGCTTATTTTTGGACATGGATATGTCTTTTGACTTTACATGTTATTTGTGGGCCATGAATTGCTGTTCAACTACTGTTGAGAGTCCATGGTTTGGAGCAGGGCAGCTTGTTTTTGGATGTGGATGTGTTTGTGGGTTGTACATCATGACAGCACTATGGGCAAGGTTGGCATTGATTTTTGCAACATTTTTGTTTGTGGGCTGTTTGTGGGCTGTTCATTGCTTGGTGCATAGTCAGTGTATTGCTTACCCGCATCCCACCTTGTAGGACTGTGAATGTTGGATCAGATTGATGGCTTTACATATCCCGTGCTTTCTGGCTGTCTTTGAAGTATTACCTAGGCTTGGTCCATCATGTGTTTAGAGCATCAGCAAAATTCTACACTTGACAGTCAGACATAGTAGGGGCAATTAAGTAGTTTGAGAAGGCAGTGCATTGCATCCATAGTGCAATGCATCTTTGAAGCTCAAAAGTGAGGTATACAGAGTGCATACTATGTGTGATTGAGTGACATGACTAGTTGACTTAGGTGCAACTGAGCAAAGCAATCAGAGCCTCTTTAAGTCTGGTTCTGTGTGACTGTCCCACAAGTGTGATCTAGTGGCAAGCTTAATGTGCTTCTGCTCTCTTGTTTCAGGCATTTTGCCTTTCACTCAGTAGAGCTTCAGCTTCTATAGCTGCTAATTCCCTACCTGCCCTCCTGTTTCAGCTCTGCAGATTCCCCCAAACCCAGCTCGGCCAACAGTAGGCCACCCACAGGAGCTGGCTGACATCTGGGTGCTGTGGCGCCCAGAGCATGGGTTGCTTTCAAGACTTAGGGAGGAGAAGGGGTGCTGGCGGTTGGGCAGGCTCCAAGTGTGGCTGAGGAGGTTTAAGTGTCATGGTCTCGGTCTTGGGTGGTTAGGCTAGGCTGTGTCTCCAACCTGTAGTAAGGTTGCTGCAGTACTCCTTTTTTGGTAGCGGCTTGGGCATATGGCCCTTCCTGCTCTTCCTTTTTTTGTGTGAGTGTGGGTGGTGAGTGTTCAGCTGGCTTTTCCTGCTAGGTGGCCCCGAATGCAGGTTGCATTGCAGGCCCTTTTTGGGTATGACTGCGCAGTTTTGTTAGCAGGCAGTGTGGAGGCGCCCGGCTGGTGTGCAGCTTGGCTGCAGTGTAAGGGTTCTCGGCAGCTGTTCCCTGCCCCTTGGTCCCTGCCCTTTCATAGTGTTGTATGACGACTTTTTCAGATAAGAATCGAACCGTGGATGCAAATCCCATGATATACCCAGGATATTAGTAGGGTATCCTCGACCGTTTATCTATCTCAGGGTGCCTGTGGGATGACAGCATCCACATGATAACCAGCAGTCATACCTGCTAGATACCAATTCATTATACAGCAAGCCATGAAGGCTATAGGACATAACTCGACTTTTTCAGGAAAAAACTGATCGGTGAATGCTCATTCCACCCAGCATACTACACTTACCACCAGGGGTCGGCAAACGCCGCTGGTAAAGCGGGTCCTTCCGTTGTACCCGTTGCAGAAATTCAACTCTATTCTTCATCGCTGGTACGGCAGCCGTACGGCAGGGTGCAGAAATTCCCCCCAAAAGGCAGGTTTGCGCAGTTTTGAAGCTATAAACTTCATCATTAGGTTACCAAACCTTCCATTTTACAAGGAGGTAAACGCTAGCTTTGAGAGGTTCTCATACCGAACAGTCAATTGACGACCTTTCCTCGGCTTTTACCAAAAACATTTCCATACAGTTATTCGACCCTGGCACCAGTACCCGTGACAGTTATTCAGGGTTTGCCGACCTCTGCTTACCACTTCCTTTCTAGATGCAGGTTAAGGGAGATAAGAGCACAGATTTAATCCCTATGCAGCTAGCTAGGTGCACGTGCAGCAAAGCAGCAATCCATGGTGAAGCCCTCTTCTTGACTCATGTACGATTCCTGCCCGCTTTAGGCATCATACGTCAGCAGCACAAGGCGTTATCCGTCCACAACTATTGCTTTATGGAAATACAAATATATGCCTTCCCCTTATTTCCCGTCATCGTGTCGCTTTTTTGTCGCTACTTTGACTTTACCCAGGCGAGCTCCTAACTTCGTTGAAGCCCTAAAACTAGGGTTGCATGGATTGTTAGAATGGCATCAGTTCTAATCTAATTATAATATTATTTCTAAGTAGAAGTTCGGAACAATATTAGAAGGAAGGTGACAACTAGGGGTAAACGAAGTACTTTGAGGCTGAAACTTCCGCTATATGACCTCTCATCCTTTCGCAGACGTTTCCAGATTATCTTGTCAGTTGGGCGATTCCTTGGGGGGGCTGCCAGCCGAACCCAGGGGTGCCCCGACCCGAATCGGGCTCCAGCACGCTTGTCACGAACACAACATGCACGCAAATACCACCAAAGCCAGCAATAATAAACTGACTTCTGGACCCTTGAGTACATCGCCTGGACACTGGGAAATAGAGAGGATCAGGGCCCAACGCACAGCCACACCACCAGAACTCCAAACCACCCGCTCACTCCTGCACCTCTAGCCCCTCAATCAGCTTCATCATAACCTCATCATCATGCACACCGCGTTCCTCTTAGCTTTGGCGCTTTTCAGTGCCTCACAATAGGCCGCCGCATCCAGCTCGCTCTTGCCATACGTGTAAGTATCCTTCTTTGCTGTTTGCTTAGACGGCCCGGCACCGGAGTCGGTCATTTTTGGGGGACTAAACGAGTCAAGGCTGTCGTTTCGCTTCAAATGTGTGTTGGTTTCCGGGCATTCTAATAGTACAACATTAGAACGTTCTAACCCATTCTAGGCCTGCTCTTCCAAAATTCTAATTAGAAATTATATATTATAATTAGTTCTAATTATTTCTAACATTCTAATAGTGCTGCAGCCCTACCTAAAACCCTAAACCCTAAAACACCCAAATGCCCGACCAGCCACACGCTGCCATCTTGCATCTCAGTTGTGGTGCACCATCTACCGACCTACCTACCTTCCCAGATATTTAGGTACCTACCTAGCTGTCTATCTACCTGCTGCCTTCACACATCCAATCCGGATAAACGATGGCAGCCTGATGCCTTGTGCACAGGCGAAGCTCCCATTACACCCCCCTGTCCGCCAGAAACACGTAACTAAATGTAGGCGCCCATCAGTCGAGGTGTAACCCCGAGCTGCTAGGGCACAGCAACCACTCGAAATGGCCAGAGGGGCGCAAAAGCTATCGCAACAAGAAGCGCAACCAGAAGCGCAAGCACCAGCAAAGCCAAATGCAGGGGGTTGAACCCCTCCCCAAAACTGTCCATGACGTCTGCAGTACGAACGCGAATCGCCATCACGAGCAAGACACAGCCTGCCTGCCCCTCTTTGTATGGTGTTTACGTATCTACACCTTCTCCGTACAGTCCCCCCTCCTATTCCCCTCTAACCCCCAACCAGCAACCGCCTAGACAACAGAATGGAAGGTAGCCACGGCTCTAGCTACGCGTGCAACACCACATACAATGTAAGACGTACTGTACTACAAAACAGCACAGAGGCGCCGCGTCCGAGAAAGAAAGAAAGAAAAGCAAGCAAGAGCCGTGCGACCGGGACTGAATACAACGTTTTAACCGATACACGGAACGCTTGTGAACAAATTCTGAAACAAGTCCAAAGGACGGCGGCAGAAAGGAAAGGCAGAGGGGATGCAATCACTGGGGTACTGCTCAATTGGTCATTGGTCACCGGACGGGCTGCTGAAGGATTGAGCAGCGGCCTTCTGCCTTCTGGTGATACGAGCCGGGGAGTCAGGCCCCGGAGGCGCCAGGCGCCTGCGCCAGTGTGTAGAATCGATATACCATACTGGACGTCAACCGCCGGGCCGTGAACTCTCTACCTACTCGTTTCACACCAGCAACCCCACAGTTGGAAATATTTCATCTTCTCGCCTTCTTCGTCCTCCTGCTATGGCTCATTCTTTTCTGGCATAAAAACACGCACACAACACACGCACTTCCACACAGAACGTATTGAGGTTCAAAGCAGGGCCGTTAAAGCCCAGAGTTACAAATCCAGCAGCACTGCAGACCCCAGCACGTGAATAACCCCGCGCTGCTACACATATCATCATGACGCTCATGCGCCATTCGGCTGGCGGCAGCCAAGTATTCATGCCGTGAACCCTGCTACTGCCCCTCACACACACCAACCCCCAAGCCACCCGCTGCTGTGTTACCACACGCCTCAATGTGGAAACCTCCCTGCACTCGACCTACCTACCAACGTATTTCCACCACCCCTACTCCCCATGCCTGCGCACACATACACGCGAAGCAGTAACATAACACAAGCAGTAAACACAAAGCAAGGATGCTACGTGGAATG